GTTGTAGTTTTAAAAGTAGTATCCGTAGTCGTAGAAGAACATGAAGATGAAGAAGAATTGGCAGAATGACTGACAGTAGTACTAAAGTATAACTGAGCTGTTCTTTTCATAGCATTTTCTTCCTCTTTCATTAGCTGTACAATTTTTGAACGTGTTTTAGGACAGAATAATATAGGTGTAGAAATTGTATGAAGATGACGGCAGGCTTGTTTGATAGCTGAATAGCGTTGTAGTCGTTTTGATAATTGCTCATTGACTAAAGTGGTTTCACTCTAATGTTAGTAACAAATAAGATTGTGTAAAATGAAAATATTCACATATCACACTAAAATAACTTTAATAAGTTTCATTTCAATTAAGTATGTAAAAACATCATGTTAAACTAGGTGGTGAAACGTCCAGTTCAACCACGAACAACTACCGTAGATAGATCAATAGACAATTTGATCAGTGGCTCTTAAAGTATTGCATCGAGAGGCAGTCGAATCATTATTTACCAGAGACCGAAGAATGCAGTCAGATCAGAAACATGCACTTAAAAGTTTAAAATAATTGACCAAAGAGAACAGTTATCCGTCATATGTCGAAAACATTTGCACTCAATACATACTTTGTGTACGATTGGTGCCTGAATGACCGCGTCACCTTATCGAGAATGAATAGCCGAACAACAAAAAGTTATGTTTCGTATGGTGTATTCTCTAGCAAAATTTAGTTTTCTCGCCATAAGCCTTACACCTAGAAATTTAAACAACCAAACCACTTTAATTATTCATCAAAATTCAATTTTCAAACATTTAAAATCAAGCGGAAACTAGTTCAATAGTTACTAGCCGGTCCTAAGCCCGGGTAAAGAGGGAAGGTTGGGCATAGAGCTAGCAACCCTACCCCGTAAAACAAATCTAACCGCTAAAGAAACTTCAAAGCACAAACAAAAAAAAAAAAATAAAAACAAAATTATTCCTCGCTGGAATCGGAGAGGCGAAAAGACGCCGGTTGGTGAAAGCCTTCGGGAAGCCAAATGGCCGATGTGTCTTCTCTCCCTCGATGAAAGCGAAAGTAAACGTGGGGACATGGAATGTCCGCGCCATGTACGAACCTAGCAAGGCAGCCTAGATTGCAAACGAGATGAGGAGGTATCACATTGAAGTGTAAGGAATTCGCGAAAGCAGGTGGAATGGGAGTGGACTCTCCAAACTGTCAACTGGAGAGCCAATAATCTACTCCGATATTGTCACCCAAACAACAACCACGAGCGCACTGTCTTGGAGTGGCTATCATGATGTTCCCAAGAGCATCGAAGGAACTCTCTCTCACGCAGTGGGAACCGATCTCCACCAGCAGGATCATGACAGCAAAGTTCAACTCAAAAAGAAGGAAGGTCACAATCATACAATGCTACGCACCTACAAATAATGCAGACCAAGAGAAAAAGGAGGAATTCCACAGACAACTGCAATCAACACTGGACAAGACCTCAATTGCTGACGTCGAAATTCCAATGAATGACATGAATGCCAAACTGGGAACAGACAATACAGGAAGAGAACCAATCATGTGTCGAGAAGCACTCGATGAAATAAAGAATGAGAATAGAGAACTGTTTCCAGACTTCTGTGCATTCAACGATTCGGTGATTGGGGGCGAGGCAGTGTGTACAAACACAAGGATATTCACAAAGCAGCATGGATTTCACCAGAAGGACAAAAAACACTAAAAATCAGATCGACTTCGTCCCAATGTGAAGAAAGTGGAGACGCAGCCTACTAGACACAAGATCAAGAAGGGGAGCAGATGTAGGTTCACACCACTATTTAGTGCAAAGAACTTACCTTCCAAATCAAATTGAAAGCCTTCAAAGAAGTTGGTGATAGACCACAGTTCAAGTTCAACACTCAGAAAGTGAAGGACGAAACTACAAAGAAAACCTTCAAAAACGTCAGCCATCAACACAAAGTAGGATATATCGAGCAACATCCCTGAAGAAACCTGTGTGAATGAGCACTGGAACTCGGTGAAGGAGATGTGGAAAAAAATCTGCATAACTGTTTTAGGAAGGAAGAAGAAAGAAGATAAAAAAAGGAATGGATCTCGATGGACACATGGAAGTTGGTAGAGGAGTGAGAGGAGGATGGTGAAGCAGAAGATAAAAAAAACCAGTGCAAGGATGCACGACGAGAAGAGGAACTGAGTACAATGTACAAAACACTACACTGGAGTAAGAAGTGAAGAGTGCACGCAAAGACAAAAGACACTTCTACGAAACACTGGCAAATGAAGCAGAACAGGCTGCAGGTAAAAAAAAGAGAGACCTGACAACATTGTATCAAATAACCAGATTACTATCTGTCATGGGAGGGATCAACACAGATGAAACCAATGAAAGATGAAGGAAATTTAATTACCAAAGAAGAGAAACAAAGGAAATGATGGGCCGCCAACTTCAAAAAGCTCTTGAATCGACAACCACCACCTACAACTCATTCCTAAACAATACAAACTCATGGCTGTTTTGAAGGCTCAAACTACACAAACAGGTCCAATCAAGAACACCATAGCTTCCATTTGTGAAGGTGTAATTCAAACAGCCGATAATCTAAATTGTATTTTTCTGGCAACTGATACTGACTCTTTTTTAAAGCCCTTCCCATTTTATCAGCTACTAATCAATTCTTTATGGAAGTTATTAACTGATCAATAGCCAAACTGTCTAAGGTCAGAGTAAGAAGTTGTTATCTACCGCATTTAGCTTTACCTAAACTTTTCTTCAAATATCTTATGCACCAAAGTTATATTACTACTGATAATAAACTTATTCATGCCTATTGGATACTGAAGAACATAAGTAATCACAACTTTTTAAATTCTGTGCCACTTTTGTTTCAGTTGTTTTAGTGTTGTTGTCATACGTTTTGTTGGCGAATGTCAGTTGTCAGATAGCCATCCACCAATAAATCCATATTGACGTTGGAAGTAATTTGAACAACTACCATCGCGCACACGAATTCATAAAATGGTCACTGTTTTCGGCATCGACCAAGTGTTCTTGGATGACAGTGAAGCATACTAGTCAGGATTACTGTCTACACCGTAATGCATGTTGATGAGGCTTCGAGTTCTCAGTATTTTGCACGCAACCTGTAGTTTCGCAAAGATTGTATGCTCACAATTGAGGCTGAATTTCTGACTTAGCCGTTGAAAAGCAACATTTCTACACGTTGCTGATGAGACATAGCATAGAGCAGAACAAGTGTTCCTCCGTTTCTAAGTGTCAGAAGTTGTCTGGTTGACAAGTGTGGTTAAAAGTGCTTTAAAACTGCAGTAATTTGTTTACGGTTTATTCATAAATGATCTCTTTGGCAAACTAAATCTCACACTAGTTCATTAGCGTTTCTCCGGCATTCAGTTCACTATAACATTATCCAACCGGCATGTAGTCCTGAACATAAATCAGTTTCATAGGTTGAACTGTATAACAAAATGGTAAACAAAAATTTTAGTCTGGAAGTAAACTGATAACGTATGGTCATATCATATCTTACGATGTTGTGTCACTTTCTAAATTCATGTAGCAAAGAAATTCAAACAACTTTAGACTTCATAGAAATCCCTGTTGACATTATGCATTTCTATGAAGACATAGAGGCGACTAGGTATACTGGTTAAACTCCATACAGTGAATGAATAAAGATTCAGGTTAGACATAAAAGTTGAGAAAATTAGGTTAAAAGACTATACATACCATAAAGAAATCTATTGTTTTGTGGTTTGCACATTCACTAATGAGTATTCATTTGTGCATTCATTCCCTATAAGTAAACAAAGAGGTTTAGAGAAAACTACTCCGTAGTGAGACAGTGACCAGCAAGGGAAACTGAGCACCTACATTTAGGCATATAATATGATATGTGATATGATAAAGGATCCAGATTCGTTTGAGTTCATTATTTATAGATAAAAAATGTCTGCCATTCTAAATCCGACTGACAACAGTATCGTGTGAAAACCTTTTTTACACATCAAATGAACGTCTGAACAATAACTGTTCAAAAAATGAAACAAAAGAAATGAATAGTGTGTAGATATATCGATAGGCAAAGGAAAACTGTTTATTCAGAGCTAATTTCATCGACTATGAAAAGGCCTTCGACAGCGTCGACCGAGAAGTAAATTTGCAACTGCCTCAACACTACGGTTTCAGTGCCACAAACCTCTATCAACCTCATTCAACAGCTATATGAAGACGCCACATGCCAAGCAATTCACAATGGAAAGCTCAGTGATGCCTTTGAAGTGAAGACAGGAGTAAGACAAGGCTGTCTACTTTCACCGATCATCTTCCTGATTGTGGTCGACTGGATCATGCAGCAAACCCTGAGGAGTCACAAGACGGGCATACACTGGCTGAACAGATGAAAAGACCCCAGAAGAAGATTTGGATTTCGCTGGTGACTTGTGTCTGATGTCGCACAAACTCGAAGATCTACAGTCGAAAAATAACAAGTTGACAGAAGAGGCAGGGCAGCGAAGACGGGACTTCAAGTGAACGTAGAGAAGACGGAGGTGATGAAGATACTCAACCACCACCACCACCAACAACAACAACAAACTTCGATCACCATTAACGGGAGAAACCTGAAGGAAGTAGTGTCTTTCACCCACTTATTCAGGGCAGCATCGTTTCAACTACAGATGGCACAGAGGAGGACGTCAAAGCCAGGATCGGAAAAGCAATACAGGCCTTCATCAATCCAAAATAGTCAGTGTGGAGATCTACTGCACTCAACGCAGCATAAAGAACAGGATCCGGATTTTCAACACTAATTCAGTCAAGTCAGTGCTTCTATGTGATGGTTCAGACTTGGCGTGTCACGAAAAGCATTTCCAAAACACTGCAGACATACATCAACAGCTACCACCTACGCTCACTCGTTACTGAAACTCAGATGGCCAGAAAGAACAAGGAACAAGGAACTCTGGGAACGAACCAACCAAGAACCTATCGCTCAACAAATATGCAGAAGAAAGTGGAGATGGATGGGGCATGCACTGAGAAGACCATTCGGGGACATCACGCGCCAGGTACTCGAGTGGGATTCAAAGGCGAAACGACTAGTTGGTCTTCCGACGGTAACATGGAGGAAGAAATGAAAGCTTGTGGGCAGTCATGGAGCGAGATTGAAAAGACTACAGAGGAGAGATTTAAATGGTGATGTGCTACTAGGAACCCAAGAGACAAACGATAACCATAGTAATCATATGTAGGGTTAATTGGGCGAAATAAATCGGGGAAGGAAAACAAAATACCAGATGGGTGGTAGTTAAGACCAGTATTCTGTTTTCCTTCCCTGATTTGTTTCGCCTAATTAATCTCATTCCTATTGCCAATGTTATCATTATTATTCATCTCAAAATACACCTGGTTGTCTTATTATGTCTGCTATTACTGCTACGACTACTACTACTACTAACTATCTTGTTTTAAATGATGTAGTCGACGCTCAATCGATTCAGTTCTCGCCCCTGTCAACATGATTATTATAATAATTATTTTTCAGACAACCATCATCATCCATTAAAAAAACATCATGGATAAGGGTCACAGGAATGATATTAAAACAGGCTTTACAATTTTGTATAGAAACTGTAGGGGGCGTATACTTATGTTTGTTGAGGCGCTTTCATTATCTTTCTTATTATTGAATTCCTTTATGTCATATTTGTCCTTCCCCCACTTCCAATTATTTTCCTCCCTGAAATCAACCATTATCCAAACTCAATTAACCTATTCTCAATCCAATCAATTTTGAATATCCATTGCTACCCTTTCATGACCATTTGACCCGTAAAAACTGTTCACTTCTATATTACATCTAAATCTGTCTCAGTCTACGATATATATGAAACATGAACTAAACACTTTACAATGATAGTCAGGATATGAATATTCTGAGTAATATACTTTTGTGATATATTGTGAAACGCTTATAAACGCTGAACCATCAGTGCTCATATTCGACTACTGTTGGTAACTCGATTCCACAGGGATAGAAAAGACCATAAGTCAATAGAGGGGGCATTGTAGTGTATATATATAAAGCAATGACATACATGTACGCACATATATGTTTATTTTGAAGTCTCTCAAGGAGAGTATTTTCCATTAATTTTATCTTTACAATTGGTCTGATACACACATGATTGGGTGTTTGATTTCGAAAGAAAAAAACAACTTCGTAGTAGTTGAGTGATTGTGAAGGAGACTTCAAGCTTTTCGTAAAAAGATTTAGACAATCATAGTGGGCAGTACAACGTTCTGATAATTTTAGTTTCATACTATATTAATGAAGGATCGTGGCTAGCAGTGGGATCCAGGATGCCCATTTCGTCCTATTTGGGACTCATTCGTCAGCTGGATGTAACTGCTTCCCAGTGAGGGATGTTGTTCCCACCGGATTCGGACTCGGGAGCGATTGCATCAAACGCCAGCACGTTATCCACTACACCACCGAGCTACGATAGCCACTTCTTCTGCGACGGGTATAGTTTTAGCATAATTGTTTTTATATGATACCGTCGTTGCTTGGACCCAATTGATCGGTCTCTGTTGGCATATGGGCTCCTGCGCGGATGCCTCGATATTGCCTGCATTCTAATTATACTGATGATGGATGGTGGCTAGAAGTGGAAGCAGGTACGTTCAGCTGATGAGTCCCAAACAGGACGAAATGCGCATCATGGATTCCATTGCTAGCCACGACCCATCGTTAATATAATTAGAACGCAGGCAATATCGAGGCATCCGCACAGGAGCCCATATACCAATAGAGACCGATCATTTCGGTCCAATCAACGACGGTATCATATAAAAACAATCATACTTTAATCTCATACGAATGAAATAATCTTTCACTAGACGACTATACAATGAAATGACCGACTGCAAAAGAAACTACAGATATTAGTATTTGTTATCGCAAAGTGGAGTTCCACAAGTTGTACTTCTCCATTTTAAATTATACGAATAAATGGTTAACTACGAATCAGAAAAAAAACGCTAAAAATCTAGTTTTAAGAGTGAATCATATAAATTAGAGTGTAAATGCGCTTTACCTTTCGTAAACACGAACTGTGTTTTCAGCTGTTATTATGAATGTATGCACTATCAGAAACTGAATGCAAAAACTGAAATGTAGAAAGTTAGGAAAACAACAAACTCACGGATGCAATACTTGAATTTGGGTGAGGGAATTTTTGTCCAGTGTCGTTATTTAACAACAAAGATTTTGTTGGATCTGACTCCTTATTTGCTGTGCAACACTTAGAGCCTTCTTGCCAAGCTCTAAAGGGTAAGCTGAACATTTCAATATACTGAGATCTAAGAACATCAGCTTCAATAAGCGTGAGGCTTGTTTACCATAGCGATGTAAAATGTCAACATGGGAAAGTGAGGATTAGCGGCAGCCGTAAGAGGTGGGATACGTCCACAGTCCTAAAATCAAATAGTATGAAAAAACGTCACAGGATGATAAAATAAATTAAAAACAGAAGCTGGAAATAAAGAAATGCGGCGAACGACAGAATATAAAGTACTTGAAATCGGGGTGATAACCTCGCTTGGTCAACTACTTCAACAGTTACTAGCCGGTCCTAAGCCCGGGTAAAGAGGGAAGGTTGGGCATAGAGCTAGCAACCCTACCCCGTAAAACAAATCTAACCGCTAAAGAAACTTCAAAGCACAAACAAAAAATAAAAACAAAATTATTCCTCGCTGGAATCGGAGAGGCGAAAAGACGCCCGGTTGGTGAAAGCCTTCGGGAAGCCAAATGGCCGATGTGTCTTCTCTCCCTCGATGAAAGCGAAAGTAAACGTGGGGACATGGAATGTCCGCGCCATGTACGAACCTAGCAAGGCAGCCTAGATTGCAAACGAGATGAGGAGGTATCACATTGAAGTGTAAGGAATTCGCGAAAGCAGGTGGAATGGGAGTGGACTCTCCAAACTGTCAACTGGAGAGCCAATAATCTACTCCGATATTGTCACCCAAACAACAACCACGAGCGCACTGAGTCTTGGAGTGGCTATCATGATGTTCCCAAGAGCATCGAAGGCTCTCTCTCACGCAGTGGGAACCGATCTCCACCAGCATCAGGATCATGACAGCAAAGTTCAACTCAAAAGAAGGAAGGTCACAATCATACAATGCTACGCTACGCACCTACAAATAATGCAGACCAAGAGAAAAAGGAGGAATTCCACAGACAACTGCAATCAACACTGGACAAGACCTCAATTGCTGACGTCGAAATTCCAATGAATGACATGAATGCCAAACTGGGACAGACAATACAGGAAGAGAACCAATCATGTGTCGAGAAGCACTCGATGAAATAAAGAATGAGAATAGAGAACTGTTTCCAGACTTCTGTGCATTCAACGATTCGGTGATTGGGGGCGAGGCAGTGTGTACAAACACAAGGATATTCACAAAGCAGCATGGATTTCACCAGACATCAGGACACACTAAAAATCAGATCGACTTCGTCCCAATGTGAAGAAAGTGGAGACGCAGCCTACTAGACACAAAATGAGATCAAGAAGGGGAGCAGATGTAGGTTCACACCACTCACCATTTAGTGCAAAGAACTTACCTTCCAAATCAAATTGAAAGCCTTCAAAGAAGTTAGTGATAGACCACAGTTCAAGTTCAACATCTAGAACAGAAAGTGAAGGACGAAACTACAAAGAAAACCTTCACGTCAGCCATCAACACAAAGTGGATATATCGAGCAACATCCCTGAAGAACCTGTGTGAATGAGCACTGGAACTCGGTGAAGGAGATGTGGAAAAAAATCTGCATAATTGTTTTAGGAAGGAAGAAGAAAGAAGATAAGGAATGGATCTCGATGGACACATGGAAGTTGGTAGAGGAGTGAGAGGAGGATGGTGAAGCAGAAGATAAACCAGTGCAAGGATGCACGACGAGAAGAGGAACTGAGTACAATGTACAAAACACTACACTGGAGAAAGAAGTGAAGAAGAGTGCACGCAAAGGCAAAAGACACTTCTACGAAACACTGGCAAATGAAGCAGAACAGGCTGCAGGTAAGAGAGACCTAACAACATTGTAACAAATAACCAGATTACTATCTGTGATGGGAGGGATCAACACAGATGAAACCAATGAAAGATGATGAAGGAAATTTAATTACCGAAGAAGAGAAACAAAGGAAACGATGGGCCACCAACTTCAAAAAGCTCTTGAATCGACCACCACCTGCACTTCGTCCAGAAATACCACCTGCAGCCCAGCCACAGAACTACTAGTGAACATGAATCCTCCAACAAAGGTGGAAGTCCTGAGCGTCATAAAGCTACTGGAATGTAGGAAAGCAGCAGGACCAGATGGAATTCCGCCAGAAGCACTGAGAGCAGACTCAGAGACAACAGCAGACATGCTCACACCACACCACTATTGCAGAAGGTCTGGAAGGAAGGAAAGGTACTTATTTGCCGATTGGAAGAAGGGTTACCTTATCAAACTTCCAAAGAAGGGAGACGAAAGTGTTTGCAAGAACTAGCGCGGAATCACTCTCCACTCCTGTCCACCCAATGCAAGCAAAATATTAAGCCGTGTCATCTTGGAGAGGCTAAAGGATGCTCTGCATTCAAAATTACGACCGGAACAGGCTGGGCTGGCTGGCTGACTGGATTCAGGAAGAACAAATCATGTGCGGATCAAATTGCAACGCGACACTACGCATCATCATAGAACAGAGTATAGAATGGCAGTCAACTCTTCACCTCAACTTCATCGACTTTGGGAAGGCCTTCGACAGAGTTGACCGAGAGGTAATTTGAAAACTCCTTCAATACTACGGAATACCATAAGCCTTTATCAACCTCATTCAACAACTATATGAAGACGCCACATACCAGACAAGTAATTCACAATGGGAAGTTCAGTGATGCTTTTGAAGTGAAGTGAAGACAGGAGTGAAACAAGGTTGCCTACTATCCCCCATGATATTCCTGATTGTGGTCGACTGGATCATGCAGCAAACAGTGGGGAGTGAGAAGAGGGGGATACGCTGGCTGGACTGCGGAAAAGAACCTAGAAGATCTGGATTTCGCCGATGACTTGTGTCTGATGTCACACAAACTTGAAGATGCACAGGCGAAAACTAACAAGTTGTCGGAAGAGGTGAGGCAGCGAAGACGGGACTTCCTTCAGGTGAATATAGAGAAGACAGAGGTGATGAAGATACCCAACCAACACCACCACCACCACAAACAACAACAACAAACTCCAATCACCATCAACGGGAGAAACTTAAGGGAAGTAGCCTCTTTCACCTATCTAAGCAGCACTGTTTCAACTACAGACGGCGGCACAGACGAGGATGTCAAAGTCAGAATCGGAGAAACAGCAAGACAGGCGTTCATTAGCCTGAAACCAGTGTGGAGATCTTCTGCACTCAGCATGTGGAACAAGATCCGGGTTTTCAACACCAACATCAGTCAAGTCAGTGCTTCTGTATAGCTTAGAGACTTGGTGCGTTACGAAAGGGATTTCCAACAAACTACAGACATTCATCAACAACTGCCTACGTGTCTCGTTACTGAAGATCAGATGGCCAGAATAATAAGAATAAGCAACAAGGAACTCACTCTGGCGACGAGTCAGCCAACAACCTACCACGCAACAAATATGCAGAAGGAAGTGGAGATGGATTGGGCATACACTGAGAAGGCCGACTGGGGACATCACGCGTCAGACCAGGCCGTCGAGTGGAATCCCCATGGAAGCGACGAGTTGGACGCCTAAGGGTGACATGGAGGAGATCGTGCGAGGAGGAAATGAGAGCTTGTGGGCTGTCGTGGAGCCAGGTTCAAAAGATTTCAGAGAACGGAGTGGAATGGAGACGTGCTACTGACGCCCTATGTTCTATTAGGAACCCAAGAGACTAATAATAATAATAATAAAAGAATCGGGGCGATAACGAGCTACGCTGCAACATGTGCAGAAAGAAGTTAAAACAACTGTCAACGAGATTTTTACAAAGGTTTAGATTTCTCTAGAACCATACTTGAAATGAAGTTTCAAACAAATCAACATGTCATGACGACTGGCTCAACGTTTATTCATACTACTGCTCATAGAAGAAAAATAGGCTAAAAGTGACTTTGGGCATGGTCCCATTTAACCACGTTGTACCACCCAAATATATATGAATAGATCGTATAATAACATGAGATCCTCTAGTATGGTAACTGCAACAAGAAAGTCAAAAGACTACAGGACCAAACACAGATAGGTGTGTTTGAATATCAAAATACTTAGTTCACTGACCCTTCTAATAAAATAATTGGCTGTTTTGTTGTTTGCACTATTTCAAGACACCTGTTGGCTATAAAATACAAGACTGAAGCATTTATAAGTTATTATGAAAGGGTGACATGAAAGAAGACACTGATGAAGCAAAAATCCAAGATAACTTGCACAAACTGAAGTACATATGAGCACAAGTGGTTCAAGTTGTGAGAATTTGAAAGAAGTAATTAAATTCAATCTCTACATTTGCATATTTTGAAAGATCCTCAAAAAGAAAATACAACAGGATAGTGAAATTAACAAGGATGCTTTGCGATATTAGTAAGGAAACAGCTACAATAAACAGTATTCAGTGTATCTCTTACTCTTTCTTCACTTTTCCTACCGAAGTATTTTTTCAAACTGCTTTTATTGTCATTGATCAGTCTGATCTGATTTTAGTTTTATTCTTGATACCGATAGTTGATTTTAGACAGAAATTTTAGGGAAGTGGAGTTGATTGCTTTATGACGACCAGAATACATGCCAACTGAAGTGGTTACACATGTACTGACATGTCAGTCACAGCCCAAACAGTCCAGTGGTAAAGCCGACTGTAGCACTCGGTAACGCGAGTTCAAATCTCACAGGAGACATCAGTCCTCTCATGGTTGTAAATAACCTTTGCTGATGAATGCCAATAAACACGAAATCTAGGGCCAAGGCTTCCTGTAGATGGTTTAAAACTAACAGATTTTTGTATGTTTTACTGACTAGTCACGAAAAAGAACATTAATTTTTTTTTTAATGAAAACCTATCATGAAGTAGGTTTTTTGGTAAAATGGTGTACCTGAGTGCAAATCAGCCACTTAACCCAGATAAAAACTCATGCTATGAGTGTTCGGACGGGTAACGACTCCACTTGGCTTTGAGTTCAGAAAAAGATATATTCTAGAAATCGTGATCCACTTAGCAACATTATTCACATTTGTGCAGTAGGCAATGAGCCACACCTATTGTTTAGGGGTTAACGACACTATCTGGTTACCCTAACCTCAGAAAGTGGAGCTGAGTTCAGACGTAAGACCCATCGATTGAAAATCAAGTGCCCAAAGCAATGATTCACAGCACCACAATATTTTAGAAATTATAAGCGGCACAAAAATTATGGGATTTGAAGATAAATCTCGATCAAAAGACAAAGCACAGGTCAAAAGTATCCTGCTGATTGATTCCTAACATTTAAATATCTAAATAATGGGCTGTGGTAGATACAGCACGTGTGAAACGATTTCGCCTACAAGAGATTCATAGGAAGCCTTAAATCTACGTTTCATGAGGCATATTTGCAATCCTGAGTAAAGAAACGTATTTCGTGAAGCCGAAGAATAGGACCCAAAAACTTTTGTATCTACGAATAAACTTGAACAACTAGATAAAGAGCCTTATGGTTAGTTATTAAACTACTGGTTACCTAGTTCTCTTTTTACAAAACAGGTAACTTTCAAGTGTTTCTTGCGTGTTTTCATCCTGACACAATGATAAAATATTGCGTCGGCAATATACTTATAGGTAACAGATAAGCTGTGTTCATAGAGATATGAGAATGTATGTATGCCCCAAAGCGACAAATGATATAGTGTCCACCTTGAACACTTATAAATACCAATTCAGGAATGCTTTTTTTCTACAGAAGCACTTTGTTCACCTTAAACTATCTGTAATATAAATTGTCTATTTGGTATATATATATATATATATATATATATATATATATATATATATATATATATATATATATATATATATATATATATATATAATTCAACATTTTCTAGGAACAGATGGTAAAATACGTAATCCGTATATTTGAAGAATACTATGAATTATTTCAGGGGTTAATAAAGACAAGCCAAATTGTGTAAATGTCAACAATATCGAAGGTATCAAAAGTCGGTGAATATTTTGACATACCTGAAACAACCGTAGGAAATTATTAATATTCTTATTTTCTTTGAGTTCTGAATTAATATGAGAAGGATTACAGAAATTATTGCTACTACTACTGCTAGCAGTCACATCAGGAATAGACGAGGTAGCATGACGTCTACGTGCAACAGAAACAACAGCTGACAGGATATTCATAGAACCGCCTGATACTGCAGTCTGTGCAGTAAGTGTAGAAGCGACTGACGATAAGGTTGAAGGACTGTGTAAATTGTTTGGTGTTTGACCAACTACAGTACATGTGGAATCTGGACCAATATTTAACTCAGGGGGACAGGTATTTCGTATTAAATCCATAGCACGAGTAGCACATTCACGAAACGAGGGGTTATTGATAGCGTGAAATAAACCAGCTTTTGGAATGACAGTGAGCAGAGAAGCTATACCAAGAAAAATAAACCGACTATAAAGATGAAAGCAGTTTCAAAATATCCCAAAATATTGACTGCTATGATTTTAATATTCCCATAATCTTTCTAAGTACCATCTTCAGAAATTCAGAGATATAAATAAATGAGTATAAGAAGCTGTATGTTTTCTGAGCTGAAGTAAACAAAGATCCATGAAGTATCATTTACAACATGGGATGTGACCATAAAAACCACTATATATATATATATATATATATATATATATATATATATATATATATATATATATATATATATATATATATATATATATAAACTACTTTATGGAATTTTCTGAAACGGCATTTGTTACGAAGTGCGACAATATCCTCTAGATTCCTCAAAGAAGCCTGGAAATCCCAGAAAAGCCTTTACAGTCAATCATAGCACGTCGAACGTTCCAGAAAAACCATGTGGTCATACGCGTGAGACTCATATTGGTTAAAGGCCTCTTTAGAAGAGTGTAGAACTCTCCAAGCCCATCAACAAATGTATATAAGCCGGAAATGTTTGTACATATTCGACTGGACAATAAAACCTTTTCGTTTATGTCGCTTCTTTTTGTTTTCGGGGAAACGACCGTCAAGGGTAAAGCCTGAGGTTATTTGTTCGGCAGTCTACTCCTATATATATATATATATATATATATATATATATATATATATATATATATATATATATATATATATCGAGGACCGTCCTGGCTCACAGTCCAACCAGTTGACGAGTACAAAATAATGATGGCGAGAAGGGAATCTGTAATTTAATGTTTCCGTTCACCAAATAGTAACCAAATATCTAATCAACTGTAAATAATCGAATGCTAGCAACAATGATTAAACATATGAGGTAAATTCCATAGATAAATCTAATATTGACGAACTTACTTTATGATCTTGTAGGTTTTAAATAAAAGGTTGATGCATTTCACGTAACGCCGAGTAGTATTTTTGGTCATCTGACTTTACGTTACGAACATCAGGCGAACACTGATGTCTTGAATCTATCATCGAACGTACTTAGCTATACCCTTCAGTAAACAATAACTGCGAATAACGTCGTGACAAAGATATGAAAGGTTTATGACGATAGGATACTTGTTCGTAAAGTACTCCAAAAAATGTAAGTCAATAACCATGTATAGATTTCTACACTAGGCAATGAAGCATTCATTGTGTGAGGGCTGATGATACTGCTTAGCTGCCCGAAACCCAACTGCCTAGAGTGAGGTTCGAGAATATTATTGGAGTAAAGTTTTAGTAACTCTACGCTTTCCATATACCCTGATCTCACAGCCAGTATGAATAGGAAGAAGTGAAACAGAATTGGAATTCATGACCTCATTCAGATGAAATGTCGGGAGAAGCTAAGACGTAAAAAAAATGATAAAAATGGGAATTGACTACTTTTTATAAGGGTGTTATAACAGTGTATCATTACTAAACGCAAAAGACACCAAGAACATAAATCTTTCCTTTCTGAAAGTGTCACTAAGGCTATATACAGAAGCGTGATTGGACGTGGATGAATAATTCGACTGTACGACTCACTACTACAATGCAGTAAAAAAAGAATTAGGCGGTTTATCTTGCCGACTCATAAGACAGGGATCAGTTTTCGAACAGAAGTCGCGATATTGACTGAATCAGTAAGATGTTAGGATGTACGATGATATCAGATGATTGAAAACTTGCGGAAAACTACAAATTCAAATTTACCTCGTTATTGTTCATTCTCATGTTTTGTGGCTGCACCACTTGGCGCCTGAATAAACATTCTGTAGCTGTTCAATGAGAAAGTGACTTCCTAACGATCAGTAGTAGAGTGGATCATTTTAACCAGACAACTGGGCTTATTATACTAAATTTGTAGGACATAGTGATACTTCAAAATAAACCTTTCGATGGTTTTGTGTTACTCTAGAGCAACACTGTTTTAATGAATTCCTTTGGATCTCATTAAAGTTAACAAAAATTAAAAGAAGAATGATTACCTGATAGCGTTGATTATACCAGTCAACTGATAGCAACAAACGGTATGACAAACGTTCAGCTTCTTCCTTTGTCCAGTTGTAAGTGAACATATGAATTTGACGTCCATCTATGCTGATAAGGCAGAAACTCTGTCTGGGAATATGTACATTCATCTTACACTTTTCCCGAGTGATAAGAGAATTCTTATTCAAACATTCGTTTGAATTGGAACGATCATTCTGTGATAAATTAGTACTAATACTTGCTTCAGCAGATGGATGTCGAATGATCTGTCGAATCATCCCAATTTTAACAGGACAAAACTCTGGGAACTTAGATACTGAAACCAATTAAATTAGTGACAATATACTAAATCCGAACTCAATCAAACATGATAACTATATGACATCTTAATCAACAACAATATCTTGCGACAAAAGTATAACATTCTGAACAATGTAGAAATAGTGAATCGGATATGACAGCAAATACTCTGTAAGACAATTGGAACGATCACAAGTTCTGCACTTCTAGCATTCTCTATGTTGCTACGGCCACGTACACTATGAATGAGAACAGTTGCTAAAAAGTGACCAGTGATATTCAACTAATTTACTCGTCAGCGATTTAACCTGGTCATCTATGTCTTCCCAGGTCCTATACATTTTCCGTTGTTCTGGTCAGTGCAAATAATCAGTGGGCAAAAATGAAATACTGATCTTTTGTCTGTGTATACACATCAAGGGAAACAAGTTTCCCTTTAATACTGGACAAAAAAGAGTAGCACAATCATACATAAAACGCCACCGAAGATTACATAAAACGCGTGATCTTTGCTCTCTGTCAGTAAAATCATGTTCTAAGCACCACATCCTCTGCCAGGTTCTAGAACATAGAAGCACTATCGGACGCCTAACAACAGCGGTGATTCTTTACCTGAGGGCGGCGTTCAAGTTCGTAAACTACAAAGTCTTTCGGCAGCAATTCTCACAGAAAGAGGTCTCAGGTAGGCACATCTCCCTGTTGAAAGCTCTGTGCTCGTACACAAGCAGGCATGTTACAGCCTTTGGTAGGATATTAGATGACTTGCTTCAGACAAACAGACAAAACCAGTGTAGAACCTTGTACAGAAGTGACTGAGTTCAAGTAGCCACACTTCCCAGCAGCATGCAAAAACAAGTGGTTAGAAGACTATCAAAGTAGACAACGGTAGACAGGAAGAGACGGAATCTAAAAATGAAGATTAGTCAAAACACTCGAACTTCGGAAGATGCTAAAGAGTGAATATATCTCCATCATTGGGACCGACTTTTAGGAATGTCACCGAGAATCTCCAACCATTGATTCCTAGCATCCCAAAGACCCCAACACGGCTGAGACTAATAATCGGAGATTTCATGCACTAGTGCCATGTCTTCGTTTGATCGTATCCAGAGCCCTATTCCTATCCAATCCAACAAATACAACAACAATAATTACTTTATTCCAAGGAATTTTGATACCACTTAGAATTCTCAGCACCAAAAGTAGTCTGTCGAAAGACAACGCTGGAAAAGGATATGAGATAATAAGACTGGTTGCATTGTGGCTCCTCCTAAGGAAATCTTTTTGATAAAAAGTGAAATACCAATCCACAAATGAGAAGACACCAGAATGAATGGGAAGCAAAAAATATGAAAAACCACAAGGTATCCAACAAACAAGAGTAGAGGAATATTTTTTGATTTTTCTCTCACTTAAAGTCAGTAATGAGTTGACGAATAATATCTAATTTCTTAATACTCCCAGTACTATCAGAAAGTTTAAGACTGAGTGATTTGATTGCTTCACGTAAAACAGGTACTGTATGTTTGTTAAGATGAACACGTTTCACAGCTGTTCTACATTCCTCCTCTGATGAAAAAGGTTTAACAATTTGACTGCCGCCGTTGTGATATGCAGTTGACTGTGAAGAACAAGATTTCATTGTTAGGCTTAGAGCGTCCAAGCTATAATTTCTTCGCCTCCTCTTCTTAAAGCTCCAATTTTTTGTAATGTATGCTCAGCAACTTCAGATTGCGATTCCCGACTAAGTGCTAATCCCTCAAGACGTGCATAATAGCGTTGTAATTCTAAATTTTCAATTAGTCCAGTTGTGAATGGAACCGTTAGCTTACGAATCATCGCTTTAGCAATATATACTTGAGATTCTTTGGCTACTTCACCAGTTGGGATGTCAATGTCACGAAAATCATTTGCATACCACGAAAGTATGATACGAAATCCGGGTGGCATAGTTTGAAGTTTATCATCATTAGTCTGTTCCGCTGGAGAAAGAAATCCAACAATGGGAGGGAATTGACTTTTCCTTTGAATATAAATAGTTATACCTAATAGTTTACGATGTAAGCGTCGATCTAATAAAGCTGTCAATCATAAAAGACTTCCATGAATCGATTTTTCATCAGGATAAATAAAACGCGCTGAACGGAAGAAATGGAAACGTTTTAAAACTTTCACCAACATAAAAACCAACAAGTGGATACTAACAGGAGTAAAATTCTTCATTGTATTACTACGTTCTTTATCAAAGCATACATACCGACCACTAAGTTTAATGCCTCGACGTAAATCATGTGGTAGTTTATTTGTAATTGGATTGAAAGATTCATACGGATCTGGAACTTTACGACAACAGGTTTATTATCATTAGATGGAAGCTGGGCTGGCCGAACGAATTAAACAATAAACTGAAACGCATAAAGCAACATCTTTACCCTGTCCAAGATGCTCAGCATGTGCAACACATATCCAAACCACCTCACTTGATGAAGGTTCACAGTCTTAAAGAATGACTTACCTGTCTTGGCAATTGTTCTTCGCCTAACCTCTACATTGCTCACAGATTAATTCCAACATATGTGAGCAATGCTGCAAAGACATCTGGAGTCAAGAACTTACTGTAACTTCATATCTCTTACTTCCAAAAAACGTATCTCAGCCATAAAACAGGACACAATGGAATGCAGCCCAATATACTCCTCCTTTGATACACAGTAGGATATCTCGACAGTCGGCCCCACACACATGACGCAAGTCGGTTGACAAATGCAAAATAAGCCTTCTCGATCCCAATAAAGATTTCATCGGCAACCAGTCAGTTCGGTTTCACGCAAATACACAAATTAATGGAGTGGTTCACATAGCCCACCACTTCGCTTCCCATCATCAAACTAGCAGTGGTTCTAGATCATTACTGATGAAGCATCATCTTACATCTGACAAAGACAAAATGCAAAACATACACAAATTTATGCCCAACCTCTTCTGAAGACTCCACTTCGTCAACTTCACCTAACCTACCAAGTCAACCAGATCACCTCAAGAGAGTAGATCAACCAATACCTGTGAAGTCAGACATATCAAAGGTAATGTCCATTATAACATCCGTAACGAAGTTGAAACACAAACCGTAACAACAAACATCCCTGACCGACACCACTAGTCGTCATCAGTTCAGACGACAACTCTCCATGCTCCCTTACAATGCTACACCAGTTCGAGTACACGGCCCTGATTAGAAATAAATACTTGCTCAGTACTCTATTCACAGTCAGACACTCCCATAACATATCACGGTCGACAGAACTAAACGCCACATTCAGATCAATCAATATGGCAAGTGTGGGCCACTGGCCGGTGTGTTTGCCTGTGCTCCAGAACCTGTTGGAGGATGACGATCTCATCGATGCATCCCCGTCCACATCTGAAACTTGTCTGCTGCTTTTCTCCACTTTGTTGATCTCGAGTTCGTGTCAGGCATCGGATAACTATGCAACCTGGAATCTTGGACATGATGTTGAATCAGTCGAAGCCTCCAAATTGACAACAGTGAACAGTAACGATTTATTCTCTGAATGCCAGTTATTCGATAAACTCCCATGAGTTCGATGAGAGTTTGTAAATTTGCTGATAACCATGTCAAGAGTGAGGGAAGATAACCAGCGATGGCGCTTGATAACTACCACATCCCATCGCAACCCAAATGGATTCTTAAAACTTAAACCACGGCATGTCAAAAAAACTCGATGGATTGTTATTACTATTATTATTACTATTAAGTGGTATGCGTTTTTGACAAATACTGGTTTCGAACGCCTCAATACTTCGTAGACCTTAGTTGGATTTCTGAATTATTTACAAATTACATGTCGTACAGCAGCAAATTTCTTTATCCACAACAATTACTTGTAACAGGTCACAACCTATTTTTAATTGGACAGTTCACAAAGGAAACTAATACCATAATAGTGAGGTTAAACAAATGCGTGACCGTTAGAAGCTATCGGGTGAGCGAATAATTTACGATCAAGGCATATAATTTAATCTTTCACAATCGAAACCTAAAGGGGATAAATTGGGAAAGGACTGCCACAAACTGTTTTCCATTCGATGCGTGGTTTAGATGTGGAGATAACATACAGTGATAATAGTAATGATAAATAACAATTTATATTTAGCTACTGCGCTTACCAAGGGATCCATAGCAATAACAGTTATCAGCAGGACACCAGTGAGAATCGGACGACTGGACAGTACGTCTTCTGCCATCATTACCGATGAAAACCGTGCTTCAGATGTAGATATCTCTTCATTGCGATGGATCCTTTTGAAATTCGGATTAAAATCGTTACTGACTGAAGAAGATGAATATTGATTTGATGAGATGTTGACCCTCAGTGGCTGCATTCGTGAAGATGCATCGTAATGATTACCTAAGGAATAAAAGAAAGTATTTTATTAAGCACAACTTTCCACTGAACTTCAACAACAGGAAACGCTGAAATATCACACTTCTTAGCAAAAAGCAGATTCGAAAATGACCCGTGATGCAAAAAGCACAGAACATAGAATGAACCAACAGTTTTACAGAGTTACTTCATATGTGTATACTTGTATAAATATGGGGCTTTTGATAAGTGAAGACATCGAGAAAACTACTTTCACCTTGCAGGTAAAACAAGCATTTTGCAAGTCCTATTTTTTCGGTACAGTTAGTCTCCCATCCTAGGTATGAAGGTAAAAAGAAACAAAGTCAAACTAATAAGTACAAAACAAAACCTTTTTCGTGGAATTTATTTAAGTTAGATGATCTGTTATGCCAAAGGTTTAATAATGAAGATCCAAAATAAAAATCGACAAACTAGTTTCTCACATCTTCAGAAACCACTTAAACTTGTTTTTCATAAAGTACACGCATACCTAGATAATTGGAAAATCAGTAACCCAGAACAAAAAGACAGAAAGATCAACGCAAAAGGATGTCCATCACTTCAAGTTGCTACGCTTCACAACGACAGGGAAGGAAAATTTACCTAGAAAAGTGACGTTAGAGCAGAAAAATCTCTAAGAGAGGAAGAAGGATATCAAGACAAAGTTTACCGAAATGTTCAAGATATTGAAGATGGAAAAAGGTGCATACATATCAGCCAGTTGCCAGTAAATCTAAGCAATACCACTAAGGGTCTCTAACCATGGATTCCTAGCGTCTACGGGACCCCAAATGAAGACCATACAACTGTCCACAAGGTCCAGCCAAAGACTTTGTTATCCATAATTAAGCCAGTCTGACCTAAATTACAGGTGAAATATACCTATTAGTTGGCGATTAGCTTCCGTAAGTATGGTATGTGTTTTGCACCATCGAACTACAAAGTGTTTTTGTAAGATTGGCAGGAGCCTCTACCTGCCTTCACCCTTGACAGTGAGCCGTTGGAAGTGACCCAAAAGTTCATGTATTTGAGCAGCTGTGTGAGTCATGCCGGAGATTTGAGTGGTGAAATTTCCAACCGCATATACAAAACCAGAGAGGTATACGTTAATCTGGGTCTCCTTTGGGGCCGTCGAGACGTTAGTATGACCATAAAAGGGGTTTACGACACCTCGGTGCTAGCAGTTCTACTCTACGCCTGTGAAAACTGACCTCTCCCAGATGAGGATGTTCGACGACTCTGTGTTCGATCATCGCTGTCTCTGTAGGACTACTCGTATTCGGTGTCAACACCATGTAAGTGATTTTGAGGTACGACAGCGTGTGTTTGGAAATGACGGAGATTGTCATTCAATATGTGAAGTCATCTGGAAACACCAGCTTCCGTGGTTTGGATATGTGTTACGCATGTCGTTTCAACGGCTTCCATAACGTTCATTGTTTGGCAGCCCTAGGACTAGATGGAAGAAGCGCAGGAGTATTCAGTGTATGACATGGGGTCGTGGGATGAAGAATAGATGTACCGGGTTGGCATTTGTTGATGCATCACGAATTCCTGGGTGAGGTTTGAGAGATCACACTACTCATTGACTTGAGACGCTATCAGATACAGTTCAGAATAGAAACCAGTGGTGGTCATGCTCCTATCTTTTGCTGCTGAAAAGTAATAAATGTTTTGTTTTGAATGCATCTTATTGGACTGCCCTTCTAATCCTGCTATTCTTATTGTTTTTCTTTCTAACATACCCACCTCCTATTGTTTTTCTTCCCAATGTTACACTGTTTTGTGTGGCGCATTTCTTGGTACCCTTGATGTGCCGTGTTTGTGTGCTAATAATCATAATAATAAATTTGGTGGTCTGCACAAGCTAGCAGGTAGTTGCCTAGCTGCATAACGTCATATACATTATAGTATTTGAGGTTATAGGTGGTTTAATTTTCTCTGAACTTTTATATTTCATCAATGCTTAGAGAACATCAAACCATTATCATCGTCATTCTGAGCTACAAATCTTTCCCATCATTATTTTAGGTTAAAGCTTCGAATAGTGCAGTAAGTCCCGTAAATTGTATGTTAAAAAGTATCACTTTAATAGGAAGCAATGAGGCAAAACTACTTATGAGCTGCTTATCAGGGTATTTGAAATAATAACGGTAAACTAAACACAATTACACTTGCCAGAATCAGAAATAAATTCAATGAGCCGGATTTTTGATAGGCTGCCAGATGATTTATGAAAAGTTGAGGGTTTATATTCGCGTCCGGTATGGGATAATCCACGAGTATTTCTCCATGCATTCAGATTGTGGCCAACAATGATGTACTCGCTGGTAAAACCTGGTCTGAACATATGCGCACTTTCTCCGAATATCGCGTCATATTTAAGACAAGAGTTTCCAGGCGTCTCAAGCGAACTATATGATCCACAGGAAATTTTAGATACAGAAGTGAATTCTGTAGCACAATTCGTTTTCCTGCAGCTAGCGTTTGGTGAAATGTCAAACACAGAAACGTCTTCATGGGAAATAAATGGTTTCAAGAGATCCGAAATTAGTTGCTCGACGAATAAAGATGAGGAAAGGCTAGCAGACACATTGGTTACAAGCGGCGATTCAATATTCCTACCCTCTTTCATCCATGGAAAAATAATGTTATTCAAAGACAGATCCTCAGCATTTACACATTTAGATCTTGAATCTGAAGTCACAAAGTCAGTAGTTTTTAGGTCTTGGTGTGCAACACCACTGCAGTCAAAGTCAAAAAATATTGGTAAAGTAAGAACAAGATATTCCGTCATAAGATCATAAAGAGCATGATGCACAGAATTCATCAAACGCAATTTCAATTTACTGAGGTCAGAATGTTCACGCTCCCACATACGAACTGACAAGACAAGCCGGGGGAGTGGTTGAATAAGACCAGGATGAGTTTGCATATCAAATTCACTAACTTCCGAGAAATCCTTAATAGCATTTGATATATCCTGACAACACAGATCACAGGACTTGCTGGTCCAAATGGGTTCATTGGGGGACGCCCAATCTAGAATAACGTACGGTTCAAGGGGATTATGATTCATTTGGAGTGTTTTATCACCGGAAACCATCATAAGCTGGACCAATACAGTTGCCACACCATGTTTTGAGAAACCCTGTGCACTTGGACGATTGAAAAGAAACAGTTCAGCTTTGCCCAATCCTTTTAAAAGTGTTTTCGTGTCACGATCCAGTTTAACTGGAGTCAGAAATAGAAGAAGATTCTGTCGAAAATAGTGACAGAAAGCAAGGACTGTTTGGTTAGGTTTGTACGGCACTGTGATCCCGAACAAACTTTGATCGTTATCTGTGAAGAACTTTGGCAAGGATATGAAAAAGTGGAGGTGAGGCTGCTCAGTCGTCGATTGAGCAAAAACAAGAAGTCCTCCATTGAAAGACGATTAATGGCGTTTCGAGAAAGACTATCAGAAATATGCTGCAGGACTAGTGCATCTAGACGAGTTTGTAGCATATGATGAACAGAAGCACAAAGATTTCTACTGGGTGGACTTATACCATGGAGAGTTATTTGCAAATAACTTTCCCCAATATGACTGTTGTTGCCATAATTCATTTTGGAGGTGGAAGTAAGCCGGATCCCTCTATGAATACCTTTCGTAGTTTGTTCTGAACTACCAAAGTAGGTCGAAGTGGAGACATCTGAGCACACGTGTATAGTTTTATCTGTTTTTCCATTAAACCTAGACTCCAATGGATACTTGGGTTCCATCTGAGCTATTTGTTTATCTGATGGACTTGGTTGACGTTCAGATAAAAACGCTGAAGTTGTAACTTCTTTTAGTAGCATGTAAAATATAGGTTGTTGCGAATATTCTGCTATAGAATGTCCTGACCGCACTTCGGAGTCACAATAAGTGTGCTTTTTTCTTCTCGTAGCAATGGAATTTGAATCTGGTTTTGAGGGATGATCAATGAGAAAGAACATATTGGGCCTATTTGTTATTGCCAAGTTTTCTAGAAGTTGACGAAGGGCTGGAATGATACGTCTACCTTTCTCAACAGGGTACATCTGAGAATTCAGAAAGACACGAGGATGCAAGCGAATATAGCTAGTCATCTGTACTGGGCAAGCAAATACACCAGGTGGCCAGTTTTCGTGTTGGGTCAACACTTTCAACTGGTCACAACTCAGGTTCACAGGGTGCTTTGTTGTGTCATATGCGGTAGAAAGCTTGGTGCAATTGGATTTTCCAACACCGTTAGAGCTGGTGTTCGAGCAAGTTTTCAGCTTCTGATCACTGACCGTCACTTTCTTTTTATCTGTTATAAGTGTGTGACGCATAAAAGGTCGAATACGACGTTTACTTCGAATTTTCCATCCACAAGAGTTAATTAAATCAAGAGATCCATTTCGTATATTGCTTTCACTACATTCATTAATATAAATGAGGTCGGGTTTTGAAATCATATCCGCCTCATCAACTGGTAACAAGAGTTCATCACATAAACGTTCATCGCAAAGTTTAGCCAACAAAAGCTTCTGATTTAGAATTCGGATGACTGAATGAATAGAGTTTACTACATTGTGATAAATATTACAGTATTCACACTCGAGTGACAGCTTGTCTGAAGAAACTTGATACATTGTTTTTTCTGATGCCAGAGATGTAGATATAGCAGCATCTGGACTATGATTACTTCTGATGTGAGAATCGGTGTGGTGAAAGAAAACACTGACTGAGTTCGAACAAATACGAAATATAAACCAAAATGGTAAAAACTCATTTGCTGATTGAGTGCGCTCACGTAAGAGGGGTGAATCCATATCTTTTTCAAAATTATTAACTCGACAAAGGCTTGCACTGCGTCTGATATGCTTATTTCTATAAAAGGCTTCGGAAAATGCTTTAGAATACCCAGACTCAACAGTCGAAATAGAGTATGACCGACGAAATTGAGATGTATTCCTCCTAGATGGATCCGAAGGACTCTTTTTTCTTTTCACAACCATCTGTTGATGCGATTTGAAACGCTCTGATAATCATAACATCGACCTTTTCGGGATTTGACAAGCGTTTCACTTGGTGAGGTGAAAGTAGTCGGCATATTTCCTGACGAAAATGAATGAAATGAGAAATGTTTAGCCATAGTGACATTTGAAGCTTGCATACCAAACTTATAATTTCCAGAGACAGGGATATAATCACTTTTTTCAGCCTCTTCGTAATTATTATTCATACACCGTCTTTCTGAAATGCATCCGTAGGTTCCATTAAACTTAGACAGATAATAATAACCGTTGACATAATGGGGGTATCCGTAAGACTGCGACACAAGCATACTTTCAAAATACTTAGTAAACTGATCAACTACATCAGTATCGTACAAAACAAAATCCAAACGTATTCGTTGCATAAGAACCTGTTTTCTGATGTCACAAAAATTCGGTGCGATGGTGCATTGTTGTTCGAACATGGTTGATAACTTTTCGAGTTGAGAATTCGATTTAAGAGCTCATCTTCACTTGAAGATATGTATGAATGATTCAATAAAATATTACATGGGTTAAAAAGTGGAGTTTGCATTGCTTTGCAAGTATCCTCGATGTGCTGAAGAATAGTTTCAAGTGATTTTTCTGTTACTGGACCGAGAGAACGTAAACAATTTACCGACCTATCGTGTAAGTACCATAACATCTGGAAAATGAATAAGCGAAGAAAACATTGTTGTGACGATGGAATTTTCGAGATATTATGTTGACCTAGCCAACCATCGATAGCAACGCATTCTTCCTCCATAGTAGAATAGGCTATATTGATAAAAACTGAAGGGCCCGGTGAGGCCTCGCTAGACTCTACATCTGGATTTTGTATGCGACTCGTGAACGATTCCGTGTGATTCTCTCTGTTCCTTTTGTTATATGGTTTCCTGTGAACATAAGTATCATGAATGTTCTGTGGAATGGAGAGACCACAGTAAGGACTACCAATAGGTAAAACCTCGACATAGAAATTTAGTTGTCCGAGATCGATTGTTAAAGTAGATTTTTTGTTCGTGGCAGGCGATTCGCTTTGTGATGGCAAATCATGTTGGGAAGTACTTTTTAAAACAAGTTGTGACAGAATTTCACGAAAACGTGCAGCGCAAAACACTGGTATTCCATTAGATAAGGGAACAATAGAAGACATTTCCTTGTACTTCAAAATTCCACGGATGCGTAAGAATAAAGGGCATACGTCAGATGAGTTTTTTGACGCCAAATAAAACCACTCTACTAATTTTCGTACCAGTAAATCTGGAGGTTGTGAGGTAGAATGATTTCGATCAAATGAAGCAACTTTTTGAGACTTCAACGTTTGAGAATCCCATGCAGCTTCGCTTTCACCACTAGCCTCTGAAAACAATTTAGATGGTACAGAAACAGTGCATCCATTAGAGGTAACTGTATGATTCCTAATTTCCGTCGCATCAACCATACCTGTAGTTTTGCTGTACGATTCTCGACCGACACGACGACGAAATGAGTGGTTATTGCGATCCATTAGTCTCGACTTCGATAATAAGTATACACCATCCAATTTCGGTATAGGTGTAAGATATTCACAAAATGTATTGTAGAGACAATTTTTCTGAACTTCACAACAGTCAGAATCTTCAGAAGATACACAGAATTTAATCAGTAAGTTTTTAGAATCTAAGATACGCAGTGGAGGTAACACCTGTTTCGGTTCTCCACGCCCCAAAACAGGTAAAAATCTGGGATTGGCGCTTCCTTGTTCATAATTATTACTTTTTTGGTGGATTAAATGCAAGTAGGTAAATAGATGCGAACAAGTAAGCAATACAAACGATGTAATATCCAAAGATAATGGCGGCATCGGGAAAAAATCTTCGGAATGTCTGAGCACATAATTAACATCTCCAATATCTGCATCAGAATTGGATTCTATGATTCCTTGGATAGAAACGCTGTAAGCATAACTGTGTGAGTGTTTCAATAGTTTATAAGAGAACATCAAATCCGACCATAGTGTGCGCAACTCTTGTGTCAATCTATGATTCTGACAACCCACATTCAGGAAACAGTCTGGAACTGCACCTGAAAGGAAATTTAATTTACTAGCATTACTACATTCATGCTTGTCTGATCGAAGTAAATGTTGGCCATCTGAGCGCATATCTATGATGTGCGTATCAGGAGTCTTATACGTCCATCTGTCATCGATCAGATACGAAATATATACACGAGAACACACATAGACAAAACTGGGAGATAAGGCAGAGAAGGTTGATATACTTCTAAAGAACTCTTTAGGCGACTACTGATCACATTGAAGAGAACGGGATGAAAGGCATCCTTTAAAGAAGATGGAACAAGAATGATAGTAACCATAGGATTAGGTTCGTCAAAAACATTTGAATCAGTTGATTGCTTCAACGACCCTTGACCAATGAAACAACGTAAGTTAGGGAGATCAACGTCAGAGTTCCTTCCCCGCTCATTTCCCATGTTGTGGCCCCACTGAGATAAAATACTTTTCAGTTCAGTCATAGAAACTGGAACTTCTACCAATAAACCCGATTTGAGGAGACGTGAATGCAAGCTTGACATTAAACTTTCATTGTGAAGACTGTTTAGACGGCTAGACGAAGAATTCTTGTTCACAATGTGTCCCAACAAAGGTAGTAGAATAATCAGGTTGGGGCAAGAGACAATAGTCGAGGTATCCTACTGTACGCTAAGCGGACGTCCGCCGGAAGCCACGATGATGGATGCATATCATCGCCTACTTGCGTTGCCCTTTCATGTGAAGCAATGTAAATATTAGACATGTTCATTACAAGGTTATATAAGCTGTCCAGTGTTGTATATGGAACAATACACTCTTTGTCTTCATTAAAAATGGCTAGAGGCAAATCGATGAAAGTACATCCTGACCAGTGATCGGCTTCTAAGTGAAGTGAGTTGATAGTACCAACAACAGGTTGGATCCATATCTCTGTGACAATAATAATAGGTGATAAAACAGACTTTTCCATATCTTTGACAGAATTAGCACCAAGCGAATTCGGTACTTCAGAAGCTAAAGCATCAACGCGAGCCCTCAAAGAACTATTTATTACGGTCAAATGCCCCAAATCTTGTGCCTGAAACCCTACATTTCTGGGATCAACAACTGGATACACTTGGTACTGCACCAGACACGGGGTTTTGACAAGAGGGACTAGAGCTTGTTGCATTTCGATTTCAGTGAAAAGAGATACAAAACCAGGTTCTGGGCCTACGCGAGCGACGTGGAATCCTTCTTGCAATCGAATATTCAAAGACTTGAAAATATGGACTGTATGCATGACTTGGAAGTTGCTGAAAACATTGCCCAAACACAAATAGAGTGATGCAGATGTTGCGCCAACAGAATAGAGCTAATGGTTGGATGGGTCATCACACTGCTTCTAAGAAAGGGGAACCGATTTTGTTTAGGTATTTTAGATAAACGTTCGTAATCCTGAATAGGTGGAACATTAACGGAATTATTTTTATAGATAGAAGCATAGCCTGTAGTCATTACAACTTGGTTACAGAATGTACCTGAATCCATCGCTAGACGATCAAGTCTAGTTCGGAAGATGGTGCAGCATGGTGTATCCTCCCAGGAGCGCTGCAAAGGTGGAACATGCTTAAATTCAGTCATATGCTGAAAAGTACCCGATTTATGTCTGGATTTCGGAATAGCTTGACGTCCTCTAGGTGGGAATCGCAGTAAGTTAGCTGCACTTTAAGGTAATCGATAATCTCACGTTGTATATCAACCGGAGTATCATTGACAAAGCCAATGCAAAACTTTACTTCAGGAATTTTGAGTTCAAGACGAATCACACAGAAATGAGACACGGTTGACACAGAAACTCCTGAGCATGTTTTATCAGAACTGGTATCACATTCACCGACCTTCGTCGAATCTATTGATTCCTGAGTAGATAAACGGACAGGAGAGACAGATGACAAGGAATTAGGCTGGTGTACAAGTTGTTCTACAACAAAGTCGCCGATATGAAATAACTTGACATAAGTGCTGTTTTCCAGCAAAACAAAACTTGACCATTGCGACAGAAGTGCGTGTACACGAAAAAGGGCTTGTCGACAAGATAAAGGGGAAGTTTCACGCTTACCCGAGAGAGGAAAATGAAGATTAGAAGGCAGTGAGTCGTGTTCCAGTAGCAAGAAGATAAAGTGTAAACTCATCCAACGATAACACTGAAGAAGATCTACATCAATAAAAGTCTCCAGTAGTCAATAAAGCGCTGCAGAGATAACCAATCAGGACTGTTTAAGGGCTGCTTGTCGGAAAGTGTTGGTGCTGCTGACAAATCTCCTTGAGGATTATTCTTTACGAAAAACACAGGATATAAACGACTAGTGAATGCATTTGGTACCTGCCGGACAACTGAGTTCCTGTTGAATTCATGAACATGAACTAGCAGTAGATCATTCAATGCAGTCATTTGAACAGGTAGCGGAAGACACGAAAACTTTGATGATAACCCGAAGGTACTATGTAGCAAGGTATGCCTACTGACAAACTCCTGCAAAAATGAATAATTGGCCTCAATTTTCAATTCCACCCATGACTTTTCTGAAGAATTACGCGAGCCAGAACAGCAAAGTGAAGAAATGTCATCTCTGTTTTTCGTTGGAAATTCTGTCGTGCCCCTTACAAGGAAGGGTGAAGAAATTGGATCCATCCTCCACTTATTGAACAATGGAAAGTTATGTTTACTCCCCACACCATTTCAAGATCTAACTTTATTTTAGTAACCGAACAATCAATGGATGCCCTTTCCTTTTCAGTGATAGGAACACATACATCCACTTGTTCACTACTGCTACAAAAAGAGCCTTTTTCTTTGCCGACCATGCGGCTCTTGGATACAACTGATTTCGTTGAAAGAGTTACAGCTTTTAATCTGAACCCACTCTTTAACCTTGTCATTAACACTGTGTGCGCAGGTAATTCTATTAGTTTTGAGCTTGCTTTGACCATTACCCTGGAGCTACAGTTGAAATTGCTATCTGTTGCGAATTCCCTGTGATGTATGATAGGAATAGCCAACAAAGATTCAATTAGTTCGTTTTGTACTCCTTCTTGAATTAATGCATAATTGCTTTCAAGTGGAACAGCCATAACAAATCCATCGGTGTTTTTGGCTACAAGACTGCAAAGCTCGACTTGTTGTATGCCTGCAGACAAGAAAGAAGATCGCTTGAACAAACTGTTTTGAATATATGAAGAGCCTGTATGCGCAGTTACATCATCTGCTAACAAGACGAAAACACATCTTACACGCTCTGAATTTAAATGAGACAAAACTAGTTCTGGAACTTCAAAATCAGACGTCGAGAAACAACCATCCGTAAAAAATAAGATGGTAGCCGGAGCTGAACTAGGATTCAACAGGGAAACAGACAAAGTACCATGTCGAAGCAAGTCTGATAGCGAGACATGTCCCTTACAGGTAGGGGAAGAGTGATCTTGACTATTTTTAATATCTTGCAGAAACTTACGCTCCAATTTAACAACCGACCGCGAAATAAGTGCCATTTTACTGGGAATATCTTTGGCATTAATTGCCCAACCAGACATAACTGTATAACACTGAGCATTGGGAACGACGACAATCACAGATAGAAAACTTTTTACATCAGACATTACGTAACCAGTACCAGGAAAGCTGTACGAGTTAGGTTCAGAAAGAAGGTACAAAAGTTGGCCAATTGTTTTCAAAGTACCATTTATATAACACGTACCATCCACACTTGAACACAACCCAGACCAGCTAAAATCAATAACGAAAGTGAATCTGTAAGCATGGTGCAACAGAAAAGCTCTGTTTTCTCAGAAAATCGCAGAATTTCCCCAACACGTGCATCAGGCGCACAGAAAGAAACTATCTGAAACGGATAGCTCTTCATGTCTACGTAGTCATTGGGAACGCATATAACGGTTTTATGGTTTTCTTCAACGATGAAAGGATAATTAAGATAGTCGATGAACCAAGTGATCAGAGCTTCTGGTGATATGACTTCATTCTTTGAATAGCAAGCATATAGTCGCTGGATCCAAACACCATTTTCATCATTCCAATCCAACATTTTTGACTTCAAAGTAGATAAAGTTTCGCAACAATAAGTGTCTACTGCATACTTCAATACCAACGTAAAACCGTCTTACCACACTACATCGTGCCGCTGGCTTAGAAAAGTGCGCGCATTAAGGCCAAACAATATTAACACTATCCAGTATGTTTCAGCCTCCAACTTAAAATGCCTGCCTGAAAAGGTTTTATTAGCCTATAGCTTTTTTCATGCTCACTCATAGATCTTGCGCAACAAATCAGGTTTTGGGTGGAGTCTGATTCAGTAGCCCTTTCCACTCACTTACTGAAGATCTCGCAAACCTCTTGAATGGTTGAGTAGTAGTTAAATTTGTAGAAAGACGTGTGCCTAGTTCCAGTAGAGAATGCGTCCTCAATTGTCGCATCGCATAAAAGTCTTCGGCTGGTTTTAATCGAAAAATAAGGAAACTCAGGAGATAGAATGACTTAGTGGAAGGAAGGTTGAGAAGGGAATATAACAAAGGGTGGAAATGACAACAATCCAATCTCGCTTGGCGGGGATAAGAGGGAATGCCGCTATACGGATAAATTAAGCACAACGAGCTTTATTTCAGAGTTTAGCAAAGAAGTAAAGAAGCAGGGAAAGTTATAACAGGAGCAATGGATATAGAATTACGGCTGATATTATCATCCAGATGTCTGTCGAAAAGGATGTAGACGATTGAAATGTGTCTACAATCATAGTGGCAGTGAATTAGAGACCACGTGGAGGCGACAGTCATTGTTGGACCAATGCGTCGCTAGTTAGTTGCGACTTTCCAATTCGTATCCTGACTAGATGGGCGTGACCTGTACATAACTACATGGCTGCCTACTCTTTCCTTGAAGTCACTGATAGATTGAATAGAAACCATCTCATCACGAGACGCAGTCTAGTGGTGGCAGACTCGGCTACAAGTAAGTGTAGTCTTATGCGGCTTTCTACATTTTGTCCGACGATTTTCTCTAGGCCTCCTCGAGGACCACTGAGGTGACCTTCAAGTTGTATTCTTGTGTGCGGTTAACTTGGACTACCGAGTATCTTTTATGCTATTATCACGTTATTGTGAATCTTTCAGTACCCAATAGGTTCAGTGTCTGCCTTCTTTAGTCTACCCCTGTGACAGGTTCCTCGCATCCATGGGAACAACCTTGATGCATCATCTCTAGGATGTCCGAAGAGTTTGCATCCCTTTCCAGTGTGGTGTCATACCAATATTGTCACTGTAGGCAAGTTCGTGCATAAATCTTATTAAGGTTTGGTGGAAGCTTCAGAGTGAAGTCACCTGGTCGTCGGCACACAAGGTTTAGCACTGTATAGATACAAGAACATCCACATCACATGAAATGTCCGACATTTATCCAGCTTAAATGCCAGTTGACTATTTTTTGCCCCAGTCTGAAATGTCTTAACTGTCTTCAGACTAACATTAGGCCAGAGTGGAGTAGAATAGACCAGGTTAAGATCTCACAAACCGTAGACCGCGGCGCATCCTGGATTGATTTTAGTGATGTTCTGGACGATGGCGTTTTTCGAGCTGAACATAATAGCTTGACCCTCACTTGGATTGCCCCACCGTCTAAATATCCCTGCAGCTAGAATGGTGCATGTTCACTGACACTTGCCTGTGTGATTTTTCGCGCTGGAGTGAGGTGCGGTACTATGTTGAAAGTCCGGCAGCGTACTGAAAAACTACACGTTTAGGAACCTGCAGATCCCAGCATCCCCTTCAGTTTTCACTGACAGCTGGAGATTTTTAGGCACGGGACCCACGCCTCTAAAAGACGCGTTGAGAACAGTTGAGTGTTCTTTGAAACTTCGAACTTACGAAAAATGTCTCTTTGGGTTCCACATCAGTTTAAATGAGATAAGGTCTGTGTTTGGAGCGGTCAGCTTCTTTCCCAGTTCAAGGAAGCGTGTAGGGGCGGGAATAATCAATCAATTAATCAATCCGCCTCCTAGAGTATTGCTGCCATCCATAGTTTGCAACATGACACGCGACCTCCAGAGTGTGGCCTATCTGTACCTAAGGACTCCATGTGTGGATCGAACCTCATCACAAAAGCATCACAGATGGTCCAGGAACAAATTCTTCTCGAGGGAGGCTCCAGAGTTTACATGCTGTAACAGCAACTAAGCGTGGGTCATCAAACCTGACCTTTCATGTTCTGATGTGAGGGGTTAACCCTTAAGATGGTGTTTTTGATCTAAGCTTGAGAGTGATCGGTTGGGACGAAGAGGATTAAAAACTGTATGACACACTATCATCATATGCTCTCTGTTCCCCCCCCCCCGTATCGAACTGGATCCCGCCCAAGAGCAACTAAGCGATCCGGACAAGGTTTTTGCCTCAGCCCAATCACTTTCTTCGTAGCCATTTCCTGATACTGTCCTGGGATGCTTATGCACTACTTCAAGTGTAGAGTTACGACCGGTCAGCTTTCCTTTAGATGAGGGTGAACATATAGTTCGCACACCGTAGAGAAAGGGCCCGTGGATTTTCCGTGAGGAGCTTTGAGACCTCTTTCGGTGTACCAGACCAGGGGTTGCCGGCAATGTGTGCAACTATGCAATATTAAATAGCGGTAAGGGTTTTTCATTGTGTCGGATGTTGTGGCTAGGTAATAAAGTATTCAGCCAGAGCTAGTTCTATACTTTTCGGTAGTCGGCAGCTCAGAAAGCTTCTCCACCAGCGAACCTTCTACAAAGCCTGTTGCTTGACCAGATTTTCTCTTCGCTGTGAATCGAAATGACTTCTTCAGGCTTGCCTCGAGTTTTTAAACAAACTATGCTCAAAACGATGACACACCTCTAAACACCTGGAAGTCGAATTAGTTGCTCAAAGCCGCATGCAATATGATCTGACCTTTTTGCACAGCCTCCAGTCGTACCAGGTTTATATTTTCGGCTTGCAGTAGGCACCCAGTGCTTCATTTATGCCCTAAAGTTCAATTATTAGGCGTCATCAACTTGAAGGAACACTTCAAAGGGTTTTTTTCATAACGTCATCTTTTAGGATTTTCCAGTTATGATCAATCAGTAACAACCACCACTTACTAACTTCTTTGTGCGCATTTCTTGGTTTTATGTTCTCGCCAACTTTTCACAGGTTTCGGTCACCGTAGAAAGGGTTACTTTCTGATTTTTGGTACTTTACTGAAAGCAGAATGCTAAAGTTCTTCAATCCACGACTAGTTCTTGCACACATCAGGAAGCCGATGAGCATGACACACGTTCTAATGGTTGTTCGTGCAGTCCCTACCAAGAGTCATTGGCAATCCACGGATGATAATGATGTACTCATGTTTCAGTCGCATCTCAAAAGTTTTATGACCAGCGTCACGACACGACTCCTGCTCCTCAAGGTATTTTTTAACCACGACCATCAGATGGACTGACGGGACCATTTGTGACACTTTCGGGACTTCCTCACCCTTGGTATTCATTCAAAGTGACTTAAGATGCGTGGTCGTTTTGGAGGTGAAGTCCAAAGGGCACCAGTTAGAAGCTATACAAGAACCGCTGGGGATATTTTTATCACCCCACACACGGTCTCCATGTGGTTCGAATTGGAGACTTTCTAGCAGCTAAACTGTTTGGAGTCTGTAAAAAGATTTATGTCAGACTACATCACCATTCAATAATCTTTTCATGCGACGATCAACTCTGGAAAGATATAATCAGGGAAAATGCTATCTAGGTAACCGAATCGTTTTTTCTAAATAGAATTCAGGAGCCAAGACAATTTGCTGAAAGCAGACTTTTGCGAAGTATTTCACGGTTTCCTCTCGTCAAGCATGAAAAGTAAAATTTGAAGACTTTTCAGCCTTAGCCTTGAAGGCTTTGGATGCCAAAAATCCGGTTAGCAACGAGTCGGAGGTCCTCTAGGAAACGACAAATTGTTGAGATCGCATTTCACGCCACTAAGTGAACTTCATACCTACCGTAAAAGACTGAAGTATGGCACAGCCAGAATTTTGAGAGCTGCGGGCATTTGGTGACTGTAATATCGTTGACCAGCAGAATTAGGAGTAACAAGATGAGACTACTGTTGAAACAGTAATGAGGAGAAATATCATATTCAAGACTACAATGAGAGGACATTAAGAAGGAAAAATAACTGGTGAAAGTAAAGGTGTCTAAGCATCCCAAGAAACTCCACATTTGGAGATAGGAAAAGCTAACAGTTACGTGAGGATAAAACAAAGCACTTTGATAAAAAAACCACCATTTTTCTCTTGTTGAATGCTGACCAATCTTGAAAATTCCCGCGGGAAAGTGTTCCACGTTGTTTGAGGGCCAGGAGCACAATGGCTAGTATTAGGTTGAAAGGACTGTAACATTTACTCTATTGCTACCCGCCCAATCACACTTATAAACTGTTCAATGGAGCAAATGATATCATGAGTTAACGACAAGTCTTCGTCACTTTCACCCACTTTTACGAAGGAAATAAGTCGAATCTACTGGCAGCAGTTTTCGTTTGTTTGCAAATGACTGGTAGGTCGTCAACAGTCTGCGCGGGAAAGCTTTAACCAAGAGACTTTTGTCGAAATTATGAGCCCAAATAGGTTGGAGAAGACTTCCGAAGTCGCAGATAGGAAAGCGGATCAGCAGAACATCGATAAACAATAATACCTTTAGTAGACTGTAAACCCTACATATTTTAAGACAAATGGCTAACTAATTAAAGGAACTAAAATGTGAGGTGATTCGAGAAAGGTGCATCTAACGCTGAGAAAGACACAGCACAAACAGTGCTTTGTGAAACTGAAAGTTGTGGTAATAACTATGACAACAATACATTTGCTTTTCCCGGGACGTAGTTTCGTTGACATTACGGGATCCTGAGCGTGCGATATTGCAGCGATTTACCTGTTTCTCAAAACCCTCAAGACGTACTGATGATAATGGTTTGGAATAGATAAGGAATAGTGATAGGATTGTTTAAATACCTAATCACTTTTCGGTTATGATAACCATTCTCTGTTGCAAGG